AGGAGGTGGACTGGTAGAATCAGCTATGGATATATGTTTAAGATGGCTATTGGATCTTCAAGTGGAAATACTTAGTGGGCACAGAGGATATTCAGGACTATGGCTTAGAGATGGTATGGCCCTCCATGCAAAGACGACATATGAAGTCACAGGCTGGTCAGGGTCAAGCCCATGGACAGTCCTGGGCACCCACCAGGAAGAGGTCACAGGAAGTGGGGAGCTGCAGTCAGTCCTCAGAAGGCCTGAACACTCCACCAGGGAGTGGAGAGAGGTGGGTGAATGTAGCCTACAACATGGCTATAGAGGCCTCTTCCACTAGTTTTGTTTTTGAGTGTTGGGCTGGTCAGGGGACCTGGTCCTCTAAAATGCTTTAAAATAGTTTTAAAGGATAGATATATGGTACTGTGGACATTTTTATTTGCATCATCTGCCCAGCATCTGACCCCTTATCTGCCCAGCATCTGACCCCTTACTGTATTTGTGTGATACCTTGTGTGGTATCCAAGATACCCAGTAATATTACAGATACTAAACAAGCCAGAGCCTTCTCTAGCTTCCCTTAGAGTTGGATAGTAGGTTCATGCCCTGGGCTTCCCATCAGTTTTGCCCAAGCAGGAACAATCTGGAAGGAGCAGGTGTAGAAATTCCTCCCAGAGCCTTCCTCCCCACCGGAGGTTCCAGATGGGTTTGAAATATAGGACTTGGTGCCTCACCTAAACCTGACACAGTAGCTGGCTGGCACTGAGCCTTGGCTTGACAGTTCTGCGGGCTTTCAGACACCCTTTTCATTGGTTCTCATTTACTTTTTTAAAGTGTTTTTTCTTTTTTTTCTTTTTTAGTTTTTTTTTTCTAAAGGGCGTGTGTACTCAACAGAGACAGAGAAAATGAGAACCGTCCCTCCCCCAGGGCCACTCTGTAATCCCTTCTCCATTTTCCTCTAAAGAATTTGGGCATGCACGCACATGCACTAGCCTGACTTTCAAGCCTTAACGTCCAGAACTAGAATTGTGCAGTTGGTCGTGTGTGATCCAGCACCTTAACCCCCACATTACCTGTTGGCCCTTCATTTGCTTTCAACACCACTGTTTCTGGCACCTGCAACCCAGGATCCTGGCTGATACCCTTGGATTCATCATAGGTGAATTATCAGAGGCCACTGAGATCTCACTCACTTCTACAGAAAAGTTATGAAGCATGAAACTTGAAGTCGAAGCATGTAAATTTCCTACCCAACACCAAGTACAGTAAGATACCTCTACAGGACTGGGAACGGGGAGGGCGTACTCATATACCTCATCCTTGTCTGTAGATAAGGGATGATATAAGTACAATGTAGAACTGGATTTTAAAAGAGGATTTTAAGAGGTTTATATATATGTGTGTGTGTGTGTGTGATATATATATCATGCATATATATATATATATATATACAAACACAATTATATATATATAATGGGAAGTACAGGTCGGGCTCGGCCTTGATGTTCCTGCATTTCAAGGAGATTCACCCCGCTCACTACCAGGGCTCACATCTAGCTCTCTTGGAAAGTCCTCATTTTGGACTCTTCCACTTCGACAGAAATCGTGGGTCCATTCTATCCCTAGACATGTTCCCTGGCACCCTGTCTTCTCAGTTAGAAGTGAGGAAGGGTGGAGAGGGCTAACCACATGCAGTAACATGGATCTAGCCATAGGCTGCTCAGAAGTGAGTCTGACCTGTTCACCATCTGTTCCTCAGAGGCCTCCCACCCTGCTGAGAGCCCTTGTGTCCCATGTCAGGAAGCAGAGTAACCACCAGAAGGCCCATTTTAGCTGTAGGGCCATAGTAAAAGCAGTAGGCTGGGGGTAGCCATCCTTTATGATGCCCAGGGGCACAAGCCTATGAATCCAGAGTGAACAAGAGGGCATGGCTGTGCTTGATGGGACAATTCTTCCAACTTGGGAAGTAAAGTAGATGGGTTTCTAAGTGGCTATATTTCAGTCTGGCTTGCGGGAAATCTATAAATATACCTAAATTCTTTCAATCTGGTTTTAGCAGACCCTGCTGCTCTCCTGTAGTAGCAGAACCCCAGAGTTCAGGTATCTGGTGGCAGGATTCCCAGGTTCAGAGGCTATAAGCCATAATCAAATCTTTTTCAAGGAAAATGTGGGCTTTGTGAGGCTAGAACTTCCACAACTGAGGGGCAAGGATGTACCTTTTTCTGAGAGAAAGATTATAATACAAATGAATACAAATTAGGTACACTTGATGCTTTTGTTTAGAGCGAATTACAAATTTTAAGAGTTAATGCATTCAAGGAACATCAGGGAATCCAGATGAATGAGGTATCCTCTGTATTAATGAGTGATCCATACCTTTCCTGCCTATGCTAACTCCATCCTCTTTGATCACCTCTTCTTAGGACAACAATTTTATGTGTTTTCTACAGAGATACAAAAAAGATTACTACAGAGTTTAGAAAAATTCCCCATGGCCTCACAGCTTGCTATTGGTAACATAAAATTCAATACAATTCACAGTTGTTGAACCTCTGGAAACCTTTCCATTCCTTCCGGACAGAGCCTGGGATCCCTCCCACCTCTCCTTGCCTCTCCCCCGCAACCACCCCCAGGCACCTTGAGTGACATTCAACATGGCCAGGCTCTGCCATGGCACAGTCCTCAGTCAGCTGAGCTGACATCAGGCAGTGGTTGCATTCTTGGAGTGTTCCTTCACCAGGGCAGTGACAATAACTTGACTAGCTCTAAAATGACACTGAACCACATAAAAACACCTCACAGACCTAAGCTAAACCAGCCTCCAACCTGTTACCCTCCAGTTCTACATTGTGCTGATATCATCCCTCCCCTGTTGTACCCACAGATATCACCACACAGCCCCCCATGGAGGAAGAGCAGCAGGAGTGTGCAGACACCTGCCATCTTCACAGGTGTGATTCAACTAGTGTCACAGGGGCCAGCAGGTGATATGGTGGTTAAGGTGCTGGACTCCCACATGGCTGACTGTGGTTTGAGTCCCAGACCTGGCAGCTTGCTTTATGTTCTTTTTCTCTCTCTCTCTCTCATGAGCACATGTGCCCCACAACTCCTTTAAAAATAATAATAATAATTTAAAAAATATAATAAAATTAGTGTCACAGACTTGACAGCATGTGATTCACTAAGTGCTGGTTTTAGACGGGCCAGCAGCAAAGGGCCCTGACACTCAGCCCTCATCAGCATCCTGACAAACCTGCCCTGTGTGTGAGCCCACAGGCAGCACCCCGCCCATCCTTTAGGCTGGTTCTGCCAATGAAGTGGGGAAGGTGAGGTGTGGGCAGGGAGGGCCTGCCGTTCTTTCCATTGTCATGGATGTTGTCAGAAGGGCTTGGGTGTGACAGCTTTCTTGCACTGTCACTTCAAGTGATACTTGAAGAACTTGTTCTTGTCAGTTCAGAAACTTCAAGTGAGGTCACCTCTAAGCCATGAGGTTGCTAACTAGATGACTCAACCAGCTTTCTGGGTTTTCTGTGCCTGAGACCACCAGATATCTTTCTTGCTTACGCCACTCACAGTTGGATGTTCTGTGAGCTGACGCTGAAGACATCCCTGTTGTACACACACTGTGGTGGAAAGTAACTCCAGTCCCAGCCTTGGCACCTGAGGCCTACCTCGGGGCTCAGTGCTCATGTCCTAGGAGGGTATGTGGCTCAACGGCCTTCACTGCTCATATGTTACATGCCTTGTATTTTCACCAGAGCTGGACTCTATTTTGAACTTTTTTCAAAAAACTGTAAGAATCCACATGTCCTGACTTAGAAATAGAATTTACTAAATGATTCTTTGCCTTTGCTGGCCAAGGAAGCAGGTATCTGCCTCCTGTGGTTTACTGGGGGAGCATCACTCCTCACCCTTCCTCTGCTGCTTCACCGAAGTGTGGAAGGACAGAGCAGCCAACCAGGGCCTGCTGGGAGGTTTTGGAGCTGCTCACGTCAGCTGGGTGCCACTTTCCTTTGTTTCTGACCTTCGAGGATTTCTCCCCTTGTCAGCACCTTTATTAGAGTGGGAAGGGGCAAGAGGGAAAAATAAAATCAGCAAACAAGTGCCTGGTTTCCCCTTGATGAAAGTCTTCACAGACAAGGGAGGGTTCACTCCTAACATAGGAGCCATCTGGGGCTTCCTCAGGATGAAGACCAGTGTCCCTGCAGTTTAGGGTGTTCTAGGTCCACTGCCCACTCAAATGTCCAAAGCACAGAAATTGGGAATGTTGCAGAGGAACTGGGAGAGACTATGAACAGGAGGTGGTCAGGTCAGAATAGGAAGAAGTCTTCTAGAAATGTAGCTTAAACAATTGGAGATGGTTAACCATGTTGTTCATATTGTTTGCTGTGAGAGACAAGAAGGGCTGGATAGGGCTGGACAACGCTAGGAAACATGCTCACACTAGCATGTGAGGGACTTTTCGCTGGCTGATTTTTGGTGGTCCTCTCTAGTGGTGACTCGCTGCTACCCAGACTGAGCCCCTTTTATCACGTCCACAGGCACTGGTCACATTTCTGTGGTGGAACCACAACCTCTGGTTCAGCCAAAAAAGGAGAAACATCCTCACCTCCTGGTGACGCCAATACTCCTTTTCAACTACTGTACCTCTGACAAAGCATCTTCACAGGGAGGTGATGACGCGGATAGTATTCGCAATCAAAGTGTTTCAGCGGCTCACCTTTCACACTCACATTCCTCGGAAGAAAGGCTCAGGTCAAAAGTTCTTGGAATTTCCCAGATCTTCTTTCAGATGGGTCCCTTAGCACTGCTATGTACAGAAACAATTTCCCCTAGAGGTTCACCTCTAAACCAGCAAAACTATTCATACCTCAAATGGAAGCTAAAATTCAGAGACTACTAAAGCATAAATGAAAATGGACATGGTAGAGTCTTGAGTCATCTGACAAACACAAGGTACACAAAATGCATAATCACATAATAAATCTAAAAGGAAAAAAATAACCTCAACTGACACAAACTAAATATTAACCTTGAGGTTACCAATTCTTTATTAGGTGTCCAATTCCCATTTGATTTAAGAAGACACCTGCAATGATAATCTCATTGAATATTTCCAGAACACGCCCCTCACCTGTCAGCTGTCTTGCTGTAGCAGGAGCACCCTGATGGTAGGCAGTAGTTAGTGAATACAAAGCAAAAAGAGCAGGCTGGGCTAGGTGGTGGCGCAGTAGTAAAATGGACTACTGTGAAGATGGACTCACAACCAGAGACCTCGCTGAGTACCCCAGGTGGTGTGTGGCTGTGGCCCAGGGCGAGCTGAAGTGGGGGTGAGTCACAGCATCAAGTTGGGGTGCTGTCCATCTCTCTTGCGCATGGAAGAGGTGAGTGAGTGAGCTAGCGCTGCTAGGAGGCGCTGCTTCCTTCACTGTTAACCAGATCTTCAGGCAGGGCTGGACCCACAGCCCCAACGCTGATGTCCGTGGTCACCATTTGCCACTAGACTTCAGTGTGCTCTGCCTCCCTCAGCTTGATTGGACAGGGTGGAGGACACAGAGAAAATGGAGGGACCCTTACTGTTCTGGATGAAGAATTCTTTTAGGAACACCAGATAGTGTGGTGTTATCTCAGATTCCCGTGGATTTAAAGAAATAACAATCACCTGACTCCTCAAAAGTAGATCTGTGGAAAAATGCCAAGTTACTCTCTAAATTTCTTAGTGATTCATGATAAATTTCTTGGTCCAAAGACTCTTGAATCATTCAAGTATTAGTGCACCTTGGCCTGATATGGGTAAGAGGGGAACAATCACTCTCGCCTGACCTTTCCTTTAGTAACCCTCTGACATCCTGGGTTGAGCAGGTGGAGGAAATGCTGAAAGCACAATGATTAAATCTGAGTCTGGGCCTCGGCACTATCCTCACATCTGTAAAATATGTACTTCCAGATCTTCCTCAGATGTGTACGACTCATTCTCACAGCTCAGAAAGGGCCTTTTCTCCACAACACGTGGCCTTAAGAAGGCGTCTCAACAGCTGTCCCGTGGCCTCTGTGAACCCGATCCCCTGGACGTGGAGGCCCTGTGGTCTGTTTCTTGCTGGACACGGGCACACAGCTCTGTGAGGAGCTCTCTGGCCAGTCTCTCTGACCCAGGGGCATTGATGCCAAGGTGATTCCATCTGTACAAAGTCTGGTCAAGAAAGCCGATAATCTCATGGGCTATGTCATCCGTGTGAGCCATCTGCAGTGAGGACAGAGAAAAGGCAAATTAAAACCCTTTGCAACAGATGGCATAATGGTTACATCGCTGGACTCCCATGTAGTGAGTTTGAGTCTCTGACCGGGAGGCTTAAAACTCACGCCAAGGGTGTATGTATGTGTGCCCAAGACTCCAAGAGGAGAATGGAGGAGAAGGGACTGTGGCATGGCTGTCCCTCCAGGAGGGTGATTTTTCGTTTTCTATCTCTCTGTCTCTGTCTCTCTGGTGAGTACATGCACTTTGCACACAGACTCAGCTCTGTGCAGTGGACAACCTGTCCCTAGAAGGTACCCTGTCCAGCATTCCTATAGGCAGAAGGAAAAGCACCACAGGAGGCTCAGTCTTGTTTGCAAGGTGATTAGCAAAGCAAGTCTGTTCTCAGAGGCTGGCTTCATGCTGAGCGGAACCATTTCCTAATGTCCACCCGCACTGCATCTCCTGGAGGTTCTGCTGTGAACAGCCTTAGACGCACAAAGGCTCCAAACAGGCGCAGCTCAGAGCGGATGCGGTTCCCGGTGCGCCAGTCCCGGCTGTGGGATTGCTTGCCAGGAACAAAGGCAAACGAGCATGCTATGGCTTGACTTTCTGCAAAAGGCTCACACTAATATGAGAATTGGAAAATGCCACCTGTTTTCACACGAACAACCTTATATATAGCATTCCTGGGCTAGCAACACTGGCCCGCTTGCTTTTTTCAATAGGCATCTAAGGTTTTAACACCTGATTCTTGAGAGGGAAGCAGGAAACGGGCATTGTTACTCCTGCTAAATGTAGCCTCAGGGCATTTTTACTTGTCCGTGCTGGTGCCCGGATTTTTTTAAAAAAGAATTTCAGTTGAGAAAAAAGGAAGGGGTGTGAATCTCACAAGTAGCAATGCAAGGAATTTATTGTGATTTTTTAAAGGCATGGCAGCATTTAAAAAGCTCCAAGTTTTTGAAAGAGTGATCTACACACTCATTTGTTTGTGTCAGCGTCTATAAAATCCACAAATATTTAACTAGCCAGAGCAGCTCAGGACAGCATCCTCCCACCCTCCAGACCAGGCCTTTCTGGTAGGGTCACACCTGGTTTTCCCAGGACTAGCTTGATTTTAGTACTTAAGGTCTCCCAGTCCATCCTGGGTTCCCACCTCTGACGATCAGTAGAGGGAAACACTACATATGCCACGTGAGTGGCAGCATGGGATGCAGAGCTAAGTACGCGGGACTTTGAGAAGTTTGTGGAAAAAAATGCAATTAAAGTTCATGTATTTTGGTGCAAAAATTTCAAAACCCATGCAGTTTTTCATAATATGCATTTTCATAAAATTTTGAAGCCTCTGGTTTCTACGTTGACGCTCTTGCTCCACTGCCACTCAGAAGTCACGGCCACATGATGCTATAGATGATCGTCGTCAGACGCATCTGTGACCTTGGAAGAAGATGTGGGCCTCCCTTAGATGCCTTCGTAGTGAACTGACTGCCTAGAACTCACGTGGGGGAAGGCTGCCTCCAGGGCCTGCACAGTGGCTTAAATTCATTTTGAGTTCAATGAAACCATTCCTTTAGTCACAGCAGCTTGGGGTCACACTGTAGTCCTCCTTCCTCCAGTACTCCATCCTGTCAGGATCTGGGCAGCCCCTGCCAGTAGGTCCTGCAGGACTGGAATCCCAGGGGGCCACGTGGAGCCCGGATTCCTGGCCCAGAGCATAACCGCTGTGCTTCCTCCAGCAGGGCCGGCCTGGAGCTGAGCTCTAGACTGCAGACTCGGAATAGCTGTCTGCTGTTGCTGTGGCCCAGCAAAAGAAGAGAGGAGAGGAGGCAGAGACAAATGTGAATCCAGGACAGGATGGAAGCCAGGTAAGGACGAGCCCGGGGACTGAGGCCTCCTAACAAGCCACTGCTCTGCCCTTCCCTTATCCGGGCGCCAAGGAGTGAACTCCTGGGAGCCAGTGTGTGGTCACAGCAACCCTAGGAGAGGGGAGCGGGCAGAGCTGAGGTCAGAGTGCAGCAGGGCCCGAGGTGCAGGGAGCCAGGGGGAGGTCGCCCAGCAGACAGGTGAGGACGGAGGGTACAGAGCCAGCACATCGTCCTAGAAGCTGGGTGGGCTCCTCACCCTGACAGGCCCCATCACAGGTGTCAGCTCTGACGGGCACAAGGACTGTGCAGTTGGCATAGACCTCCACAGCGGGATTCTGGGCCCAGGTCCAAGAGGTGGCTTTGAGGGAGCCCTGGAGGTTCACACTAAAAATGCACCAGGGCCCGGGCCGGGACCTTGAGCTCTGGAAGGAAAAGGCGTCCTGCCAAACCCACCAGCTGGCCACCACCTGCTCCCAGGCCACGTAGACCCAGCTTAGGGCTCTCTCCAGGTGCTCCAGCAGAGAGGAGGTGGTGGTGGCGGGGAAAAGCCCAGTGAGGGTTTGGGGCTGAGTGTAGAGGAGTCCTTCCATCTGTCACGTGAAGGCTGCACCAGGCGGGTGCCTTCCGCCTGCCATCGTGGTCATCTTAATGAAGGCTGATGTCTTAATAAGGTCAAGTGTGAAACGTCCGAAGGGACAGCACCAGGGGGCATTTCGCCAAATGGGCTCCCACGTGCCCGGCTGGCACCTACCTAGTAAGAAGCTGGTGCATGAAGAGAAATGCTGGCATTCTGTCCTTCAGCAAGTTTCTCCTGTGTCCTTTGCAGCTGGACTCACACAACGTAATGACAAAGCACCGGGGTTTCCTGTGCTCCTGAAGTCTCAGGTTTGGGTTAGCAATGCTGACCTCTTGCTGGGATTGGGCTTTTTGTGGAAATGAGCTGCCTGGCGTCACAAGCAAACACGACCCTCACGGCATGTGCCTTCTTCACAATGGCCTCTCTGTGGCTGAGACTCGAGGGTGGTCCAGTCTGGGAGTGGACTGCTTCCTTGGTGTGGACAGAGACCTCCTGTCTGTGAGAAGCTTTCTCTAGGTTACCTTCCTTCACACCCTATGGGCAGGGCCAGGCCACTGAAGCTCCCCCCGGCAGGATGCCAGGATGGGATGAGCAGGAGTGTGCGGGCTCAGGGAGGAAGTGCTGAGTTGGAATCGTCCCTGCCCCAGCGGCAGGGTTGAGGCTGCACCCACAGATGTCGAAGGCAGGAGCAGGGGGTCAAAGGTCAAGCAACAAAAATGCCCTGAACACTTTCAGGAGTCAAAAGTACCTGCTGTTGACTTTTTGAAATGACTTTTCATCCTAGTAGTTTTAGATTTATGGTGTTGCTGTACGGATGGTGGAGCTCCTCTCTGCCCCACTGACCTGCCTCCCCTTATGTCAGCGTTTGACCTTACTCTGATATGTCTGTCACAGACAGTGAACCAATACCGGCACGTCGACCGGATCCAGACACTATTCTGATGTCCTCGGCCTTCTCTGTTGTTCTGTTTCCAAATCCATCTGGGACACCTGCTCCATTTCCTCGCTGGTTCTCCTTAGCCTCCTCGTGGCTGTGACAATTTCTCCGTCCTTTCTTGTTTTGATGACCTTGACAGTCTTGAGGAGTGCTGGCCACTATTTTGTTTAATGTCCCCCAATTGAGATTTGTCTGATGCTTTTCTCATAATTAGATGTGATTTTAAAGAGGAAGACCACAACATTAAAGTGCCTTCGATCACATTTATCAAGGGTATGACTTACTCAACATGACTTACCCCTATTGATGTTGACCTTGACCGTCTGGCTGGGGTCAAAGCTCAAGAGCAGCTCTTCTGAGTCATACCTGACCAGAAGCAAGGCTGACTGATACCAAGTTCTCGTGCATTTTTCAGTTCTCACTTACGGAGAGTTCTCCCATTCCAGGTGGACTCAGAAGTGAGGTGTACACATTTTTTTTATAGGTTTTTATTGTTTTACATTGTCATATGTTGCAATTCCCCCACCCCACCAAGGTGTAGAATGTTTCTTTTATAGTTGCCGGGGCACGTGCATTTGCCGGAGAGAGAGAGAGCGCTCCTCAATGGGGCATGGCCATGCTGCGGTCCTTTTCCCTCCATGTCTCCATCCCATCAGGACCTTGGGCATGCACACACACGTGCCCAGTGTTGTTTCCAAGCCACTGGAGCCAGGACTCAAACAGCAGTCATGAGGGGTTGGCTCCCCCACACTGCTATGGGGCCAGCCTGTGACAGTGCTGTACATATGCAGTGTGAAATTACCACGGTTAAGCTAATTAACACATCCATCTATCACCTCACATGTTTGTTTGTTTGTTTGTTTGTTTGTTTATTTTTGGTGAAAATACTTAAGGTTGAGCAACAAGTTTTAAGTGTACACTATTATGAGTAACTATAATCACCATGCTGTATGTTAGGTCTCTAGAAATCATTCATCTTATAATTGCTTGATTGTACCCTTTGGCCAATATCCCCCACCCTGCGGGCCCACAGCCCGATGACCAGCCTTCTACACTGTTTCTGAGTTCAATTTTCTGGATTCCACATATAATTGAGGTTATGCAGAATTCCTTTTGTGTCTGGCTTATTTCATTGGCATAGTGTTCATCCATGTTGTTGCATGTAAGTGCATTTTATGATTTCTAAAAAAAATTTGCTAGCGGACGCATGTGCTCTCCAGCAAGAGACAGAGAGAAAAGGAAAGAAAGCACCCTGCCCTCATGGGGGACAGTCACACCACAGTCTTTTCTGCTCCATTTCTCCTGTCAGGATTTTAGGCACACATGTACATGTGTTTTTCAAGGTGAGTCAAACTGTGTAGCTAGCCATGTGGGAATCAGCCGCCTTAACCACCAGACCACCTGCTGGCCTGACAAGTGTGCATTTTATAGAAGGACACAACAGTCCTGAGAATTCTCAGTGTGTGGGAGCTGGGCCTCAGGTGGCACCCGGTATGTGTGACAGTCAAGTCCTCCTCTGCTCTGGCTGCCCTGCAGGCACCCAGGAAGTCTGTCTAGGCCAAAACACGAGCACAGGAAAGGCACTCTGCACCTGCTCCACACCAACTGTGCTGACAGGGTTGGGGACGACCTCATGGTGCTAGTCTTGAGGCTCTTGGCAAGTTGGGTCACTTGCCACTAGGACTTTCTTCACATCACTCACATTCAAGCAGACCCTGCCCTGGAAGGAAACAGGAAGGGCCTCTGGGTGCTGGCAATATTCCTTTCTTGATATGGTTGCCAGAAGCATGGATAAATTTTGTGTTTGTAAAAATCCATCAAAGTGGGAACCCACAGATGTCATAATGGTTATGTTGCTGGACTCCCACATAGTTGACCATGGTTCAAGTACTGGACATGGCAGCTTAAAACTCATATCTTGTGTATATGTGTGCATGCCCAAAATCCAGAGAGGAGAATGGAGAAGAAGGGATTGCACCCCTGGGCGGTGACTTCTCACTTTCTGTCTCTCTCTGTCTCTCTAGCAAGTGCACGTGCCCTATAGCAAAAAAATCTCTCTAAAAAAACCCGAAAAAATGAGTGCTTTCTCTCTCCGGCAAATGCACGTGCCCCGGCAACTATAAAAGAAACATTCTACACCTTGGTGGGGTGGGAGAATTGCAACATATGATAATGTAAAACAATAAAAACCTATAAATAAAAAATATGTGTACATCTCACTTCTGAGTCCCCCTGGAATGGGAGAACTCTCTGTGAGAACTGAAAAGCCTACCAAGGTGTTTGCTTTCTGTATGTTTATTATGTGGTGATGAAAAGTGCAAAGAAAAAAGAAAACGCCCAGTAGTGCTCTTTTGTTTCTTCTGAGTATTTTCTTAAATTGTGACACTGGATGGTTGGGAAAGTCATGACACATTTTTGCATGGAAAAAATATGTCAAGACTTTCCCGACAACCTAATTAAGTAAACATCAAGTAAAATCTGCTATTTTACCTATTTTTATGATTCATTCGCATGAAGTACGTCCATGATGGACAGCCATCACTGCCATTCATCTTCAGAATTCTTTCATCATCCCAAATAGAAACTCTACTCATTAAACACCAGCCCCTGGTACGCTCTAGTCTACTTTGTCTCTCTCTGAATCTAGCTATTCTAGGTACTCCATAAAAGTGGAATCCTGCAGTATTTGTCTTTGTTTCTTACTAGGAACTTTTCTTCTAAGCAAAGTATCTCCAAGGTTCATTTGTGCTATAGCTTGTACATTACCTCCTTCCTTTCTGAGACTGGGTGGTGTGTCATTGCATAACACGTTATTTTTATCTCCTCATCCATGGATGGGCATCTGGGCTGCTGTGAACAGTGCTGGCTGCGTACAATCTGCTTTACAAATGTCTGCCTGAGCCCCTGCTGTCAGTCCTTCTGCACATACACCTAGGAGAACTGCAGCATTGTATGGTAATTCTACCTTATGCGGACTTTCTGACGAACTGTCAGACTCTTTTCCACAGTAGTTTACCACTTAAATGTTTCCAGCTGGAAATGTATGAGTGTTCCAATTTCTTTATATCTTCATTTACTTTCCTTTTTTGGGGGGGTAGTCATCCTAACAGGTGTGAAATGAACCTCATGGCTTTGTTTTTTACCAGTGGCTAGTGATACCGAGCAAGGATTCATGTGCTCACTGGTCTTCTGTACCTCTTATCTGGACAAATGTCTGTTCAAGTCCTTTTTGTCCATTTTTCAATTGGGTTGTCCTTTTGTTATTGAGTTATAAAAAAATTCTTTACATATTCTGGAAACTAAGCTCTTATCACAGATATTGCTTGCAAATATTTCCTCTTATCCTGGAGGAGTGACCTGACTTTTCACTTTCTTAATAGTGTCTTTTGATGCATGAAATGTTTTAATTTTCTAAGAGTCCAATTGACCTATTTTTTCTCTTGTCACCTATGTGGTGTCATATCCAAGAACTCATCAAGTCTAACGGCATCAATGGTGCTCGCTTTTTATTTTTTTTGAGAGGTTTTTGCTATAGGGCGCGTGCACTCGCCAGACACACAGAGAGAGACAGACAGAAAGCGAGAAATCACCCCCCAGGGAGTATGGTCACGCCACAATCCCTTCTCCTCCATTCTCCTCCCGGGATCTTGGGCACGCACGCACACGCACCCGGCGTGAGTTCTAAGCCACCGGGTCCGGGACGTGAACCGCAGTCGACTACGTGGGAGTCCAGCAACATAGCCATTACGTTAAATTCTGGTTCCCAATGGTGCTCACTTTTAACTGAGACCATTCTTTACTCTTCATGTCAGCTGGGCTTCAGGAAAGATTTCTTTGTAATTAACTAATCTTATTTTTAATTAAAATTCTTTGACCTGCTGCAGTGAGCAGCATGTGGTTACTTCATGAGCATGCTCTCACTGAACCTTACTTTTTTTTTGTGCAGAAGAAGAGAGCAGTGCACTGCAATGGAACCAGTGGGCACACAGCACGCGACGACGCTTGGCTGACAACGCCCACATGCACAATGGCGGCAGTGTCCACACCTACAGCTCCGGTGTGTAGCAGGCTACCCCATCTAGGCTGTGTAAGTGCACTGTATGATGTCCACACAATGACAGAGTCACCCAATGGTGCATTTCTCAAAGCTTATCCCTCTCATTATGTGACACATGGCTATCCATGGGAGGGAGAACCCGGCTTTGCCTATGGGCCCTGGCAGCAAGCTATGTGACCCGGGAGGTGCCACCTCCTTTCTCTGAGCTGTGTTCTCTTCTATGACATGTAGGTGTTGCAGCGGGCAGGCTCTGGGCTCCACCCCAGCTGTATTGGGGTAATATCTTGTATACATACTCCTCAAAGGTCCAGACCATCAGACCCACCTTTCCTCTGGAATGTCAGAAGGTGGATGCTAGAAAAAGGGGAGACTTACAAGGGTGATGGCTTCCCAGGCGACTGTGTGACCTCCAGGGGCCCAGAGCAGGAAACTGAGGAGGAGGTGCCTGATCAGCTGGTAAAATGCAGGTGGTCTGAGGTTTCCATCTCCGCTTTCTTCAGCTGCTGCCTGCAGATCCCTGGCTGAGAAGGTAGCACTTTGGGACAGCTTCAGGAGATGGCCAAGCACTGTCTTCACCTCTACCTAGCAGTATAATTTCAAAGGGGAAAAGATTAGGGCACAGTCGGCACATACACGCTTCTAGGACCTACTTGGTGCTTTCAAGCAAACCCCATAAAGAGGAGAGGACTGGCGCCTGAGAGAGGGAGGGCAGACAACACAGCACAGCTGAATTTAAACACGGCTCCAGGCAGGCCCACACGGGTGTAATGGAAATTTCTTGACTTTCTTTCGTCTTGCTCACCAAGCAGCCAGGGCGCCATGCCAGGAACTGACCCTTTTTTTTTTTTTTTTTGTAGGAAAGGAAATGGAGAAAAGTCCTCAGTAGAATGTAGTCAGATTTTTATACTGTGGGAAAAAGAACAAAAGGCCCCTTGAAGACTGGCCTCACTATCATAGCCACAAATCGATTAAAGCCCAAGCAGTCGGACCTCCGCTGAGCCAGTGTTGTGATAAGAATGCAGGTTTTGCCTCCGCCTTTTGCTATCTTGGGGGACACACACACATACACACACACATACTTGTTTTGTTTCGGATACTAGAACAGTCTGTTCATACATGTTTAAAGCTCAAGCAGAGGTCACAAGCCTGTGGAATCCATATAATAATAGTAATTGTTTTAGGCCTGTGGGTTGTTTTTGCATACAAATATTTATTTCATGCTGGGACTACTGCTTGCTAAAAGAATGGTACACCACGTTGGGACTTGGAAAATAAAGCATGAACTAAAAGCCATGATCCAAAATGCCACATGGAATTCGAGCAGCTCTCTTCCATCATTTTTGAAAGAATACTTAGGCCTATTCTGAGAATTCCCATGACCGATTTTATGGATTTGTGAGAATCGGTTTCCTCCCTGGAAATTCAGGCCTCATTCAATGAAATCTGAAATAAACCCAGGCACACTAGGAGTGTTGTATGAGCTCTTCTGAGTACCAGATGAGACCGTGAGAAGCTGCACCATGGGGCCCTCCAGGGAGAATGGCGGCGTTCCAGCAGGACAGGCCACTCTGCCACCTCGCTTCTCCCAGCTGGGCCCAGCCTGCCCATGTCTGATGCCCATGACTGCTCTGGCATCTAAACACATCTACAGAAATGCAGGGTGTACGCAGGAGCAATGCCTTTATGGCCCGTTGCTTCTTTATCAATAGTCAATACACCCTTGCCCATCATACCCTAAGACTCCATATTTTTCTTTTCCATTTTGTCTCAGAATGTCTTTTCCTTCAAATGCCTTCCATATCCATAAGCTTCACTGACATGTCAGCAACTGTAAATGCTTTTTGTTTTTCAGGAGAAAGATCCAAGATTTCTTTTCTTTTTCAAGTATTTTTTAATCTTATATTAGAACAATTTATATATGTTCACTATGAAAAATTTTAAAAGAGAAAAAGAAAAATGATCTCTAACTCTAGTATCCAAAGAGACTCAGTGTTAGTAACTAGACTCAGTGTTTTGTATATATGTATGTATGTATATATGTATGTATGTATGTATGTATTTTTAATTTGACTATAGAGGGACAGTGAGAGAGAGAGAAAGTGAGAAACCAGGCTGCCAGGTTTGGGACTCGAACTGCAATTGGCCAAGTAGGAGTCCAGCGCCCTTTACCACCACGCCACCTGCCAGCCTCAGACTCAGTCTTGATAACTTATACCTTTTTCTATGCATTGAGAGCATACCACGCATAAACTTAATTTTTTAAAAAGTTTTATTCATTTCATGAGTGAGAGAGATGGAAAAAGAGACAGCACCCCGACAGTGCTCCGATGCCCAGACCCATGCCCACTCTGGATGATGGCACATGTGCCTGGAGCACTCAGGGGGTCTCTGGACACAAACCAGCAACTTCCCATGTGGGTCCGCCTTGCAGAGTGTCACGTTTTACTGCTGTGCCACCGTCCCCATACACAATGTTTTACATTTTACATTTTTCTGTTTGCGATGTACTATCAGCTATTTAACCGTATCTACAGACCATGTTCTTCAAGAACACACTGGGTTGTCAGAAAAGTCGTGACATGTTTTTCTATGCAAAAATGTGTCATCCCCTTCCCAACAACCAAATAATATCTCATGGTAGAATGCTATTCCATGCTTAGGCTACACCACAATTTATTTAGCTAATATGGCCTTACTCTTGAAAGTTTAGCCATTTCCAACTTTTGCGATTTTAAACAATGCTATGGCGAATATACATACACGTAAATCTTTGTACGGATGAATGAATTATTCCTCGGGATAATTCATTGGCAGAGTTAAAGAACATGAACCCCTGCCTACTTCACATATAGGCACAGATTTTGTTTTGCTTCGTTTTACCATGATCTAAGTCAGTGAATGGTGACAGGCCTTGCCATTGTGGCACAGTGGTAGCACAGTGCTCTGCAGTGCTGGAAGACTGGGGTTCAGTTCCTGGATCAGACTGTACCAGGCATGCATGCTAGTGACCCTGGCTAGCTGAAAGGCATGGGGGTGGGGGCGTGTTGCAGCATGAGACCCTGTAGAGGTTGCTTGTCTCTTTCTCTCTCTGTCTCTATCTCATGAAAGAAGGAATGAAAGAGACTTAAATCTCTTTTAAAAAAAAATTTTTTTAAGGGAGATGACCTAGCTAGCAGGCTGGGACAGGCCAGACTCTGCCCTTGTTCTCACACCTCAAGGTACAAGCACAGCAGAGGCAGCGATTCCAGCCAGAGCACACCATAGGGCAAGCAATGAATGGGATTTAATTGTGTCTTTTTATTTTTGGAGAGGTTTTTGCTATAGGGCATGTGTGCTCGCTAGACAGACAGAGAGAGACAGAGAGAGACAGAGAGACAGAAAGCGAGAAATCACCCCCCAGGGGGGATGGCCACGCCACAATCCCTTCTCTTCCATTCTCCTCTCAGGACCTTGGGCACGCACGCACACGCACCTGGTGTGAGTTTTAAGCCACCGGGTCCAGGATGCGAACCGTGGTTGACTACGTGGGAGTCCAGCGACATAGCCATTACGCTAACTGCTGGTCCCTTAATTGTGTCTTTTAAATAAAGCAAAGGCATAGACACTTGAGCTTAATCAAATCTCAGGATAACAATGCTTTTTTCTACAACCAACAGTTCATGGTTAGTTTCTCAAATCTCCCAACAGAACATCAAGGTATTAAAGCTCACAAAACCCAGTGGGGTGAGAAGTATATATTATTAGTTAAATGAGAACTCCCTGAGATGAGCAGTTGACGTAATGGCTATGTCGCTGGACTCCCATGTAGTCGACCATGGTTTGAGTCCTGGACCCGGTGGTGTTAACTCACGCCATGCATGTGTGCGTGCGTGCCCAAGATCCCGAAAGCAGAATGGAGGAGAAGGGACTGCAGCATGGCCAGCCCCCCTGGGGGGGGATTTCTTGCTTTCTGTCTCCCTGTCTCTCTCTGTCTTTCTGGCGAGCACACGTGCCCTATAGCAAAAATCTCTCTCTCAAAAAAAAAAAAAAAGAGAACTCCCTCCCCTGATGGAGCACACACTGACACTGATGCCTCAGGTCAGGCACCAGGGAAGAAGGGCTGGGATCACCAACAGAAGCACTGACTGCCATCGCCAGCAAGACGGCTACCCAGTGAGCGCATGTGCTGGAAAGTATTCATGGCAAAGACCTGAAGAAAAAAAAAGAACATGAAAACATAAACTAGGATTTCATTAGAGAAATGTGATATTTTAAGGGCAAGAAATAGAAGACTTTCTTTTTAATTAGCTATTAATCCTCAAATACATATGTGATTATAATTTCTAAAGAAAATGCTTTATTTTACTTTTGATCGAAAAGAAATTATAATTAAATCTCAACTTTTTAAAATCTAAAATTCCTTTTCTTTCCCCTGCCATGCAGTCCTTTAAACAAATAAAATACACAGACATCTGTACTAGTCTGGGTTTTCCGAACGACAGAAAATACAAAGCAAATAGGAATACTGCTTTATACGTAATGAAACCTGTTCCCTTTAATTATTAAAATCAGAAAAAAAGCACCGGTAGTTGAAGTTTTAAAAACCAACAAATAAATGTTCACAAGGGAGGTGCCAAAGCCTTTCATCAAAGCATTGCTTCCTGTAATTATTGTATTCCACATAAGACAACAACTGTCTTCGCCGCCGACAGTTAGCTACCTAGGCCTACACTTAGCTGCTCTGTGATTTAGGAAATGACCAAGTCCTTTTTCAGAAGCAAAGTGGTTAATCTCACGTGATTACTTAATAAGAGGTCTACTTAATGTGAGGGTCTATTGAATGGTCCAAGAAAACAGTAACTTAGGACGGGAGCAGCCCGGCTCAGCTGCTGACGAAAGACCGAGGATCTCAGCCTCCGAGCCAGGGTCTGCTGTGGGACGGCTCCCCGCCATGAGGGGCTGGATGGAGGCACAGCAGTCAAATGTGACATTCTGGGAGGCTGACCCATGTGGGAAGACCTTGCTGGGTACTCTGAGCATGTGTCTGGCCATGAAATAGGGAGGGCTGGGCTGGGAGGGATTCTAGCATTAAGACCCTGTCGGGGATGCCTCTTTCTCTGCCTCTCTTCCCTGTCGAGAAAATACACTTAAAAAAAAGAGGCCTGTCGACCTGTGTGTAGCATCCCCAGAGGACAGAGACCCTAGGGCCAAATGCGCCTGTAAATGAGGGTGTACAGAGCAGCTGAGCAAGAACAGGTCGAATGATCTCCAGGACAACAGCGCCTCCTCTCCTTGGCATGTCCACAATAGAGAGGTAGCGTCTTATCTCTGGTCAGTTCTGCAGAGACAGGAGGAGGTCTCTGCCACAAGCCCCGCTCCCATCCACTCGTCCAAGGGGACTTCTACGCTTTATGACAGCGCATGCTCTGAGCGCCCAGCTGAGGTGCCCGGGGCTGCTGCAGTCAAGCCCACCCCCGAGCCCTCCTATGGGAGCTTCTCAGCTTCCCAAGAGCCCTCGCGGCACAGGCAGTGGCGGCCACTCACCATGGTGCGTGCTCGCTGCAGGCTCCCGTCACACGGGCTGTAGTAGAATGCCAAGAGCCACAGCAGGGCTTCAGGAGGCTCAGCGCCTGACACCAGCAACTGCTCGGCCACCATCTCTGCCCATCCCCCGAAGTGCACGAACAAAAACCAGGTCTCGAAGGCACCCCCATGGGACCTGGAACAGAGCCAAAGCACATGGCAGCTAGGGGCCAGATTTCTGCTTTCTTCTGGTTCCTAAAGCAAGCGCAGTGTGTGCAAACGGCTGGATTAAATCACACCTACCCACAGATGGACTACCTGCATGGAAGGCAGGTCAGGCTCAGGAAACCTGGCTGAACACTGCTATGAACCCATCCCAGGATGCTCAGAGCATGTCTCTCAATACTCCCATGTACTCTGAGGACTCAGTTTCGGTCTTGACATCCAGGTCCCTTGGGTGAGGACTGACTTTGAGGAAGAAAGACCATGGCCTGAGACCAGCAGGAGCGGTACAGGGTGAGACTGAGCGGGGCCTTCCTGCCTTCTGCAGGGCTGCACAGCTGGGTGCTGTAGAGCGCGGCCTCCTGGCCACAAAGGCAGTCCCAGAACAGGGAAGGAGGCTTCCTGGGTGCCCCGAGGGAGACCTCCACCCTGTGATGAAGGGGTGGGAGGTGACATGCAGGTATAAATGAGCTACTTCCTTTCTGAGAAGACACGAGGTTCCAGTCTGTTTTGACCGTTAAGAGAGATTATGCAGTAGCGTGTTGCTCTTGCCCGTAGTCATGTGCACCCCCATGAGCTGTGTTGGCTCAGGGATGAGATTATGGAATGCCAGGAGGGAAGAGTGGCAAAAGGAACGAGGTTAGCAGAGACAGTACCACATCACTCACAGGCTATAGACACAGCGAGGCTCAGAGGAAGCCAGCACGGCGCTACGGGGACCTCAGCAAAGCCTACGTGGGAACGCGTTTGGGAAGCTGATGCCTGTAAGAGGGTACTTGAATAATACTATAACATTCCAAATTAATTTATGTTAGAATAGATGTTCTACTTTTAGAAAAATATTTTATGAAAGAGGAGGAAAAACAAACGTAACGTTCCATCCTAGAGTACAGGAGAGGTTTAGAACTTGCTTCCCTAGAGGTGAGGTCCCAAGAAGACGCGCATGAGCTTTGCGTTCTGCGTGGCTAGGGCTCCTAGGATGTGGCACTGCTGCTTCTAGGATCTCTTCACTCACTGTCATGCTTGGACATTTCCAAGTCCAAAGCCAGGCATTACATAGGCAGTATCTGTTCAGGATTTACATGGCGGCCTTCCAACCTGGACACAACGACCCGCAGCTCCATGCTTCCTCCATTTCTCCCTCAGCAAGGCTGCTCACCTGCTTGGTGACAGCCTCAGACACTGACGCCTTCGGCTACCAGGCCAGCTCAAAGTTAGACGGGGACCACAGGGACTACATGTGCGGTAGGCCTGGGCTCGGTCACTGTCTGCTCACCTGTGAGTCTGACCCTCAACTGCGTTCCTGAGCAGTTCAGAAGCATGCTTCAGTATCAAGTGCCGGTGTCCCTGTGGTGTATCTGTGGGTAAAGAGAGAGAGGCCAGAGGGGCTGACAAAATGTCAGACCTGCCAGGAACCATCTGGAAGAGTCTAGGGTACATGCTCTTATTTGTCTGGTTCACAGAACCCACACTGCCACGCTCAGCGAGCACACATCCCTTCCCAAGCCTGGGGAAGAAAGACCTGTCCATGGTACGCAGAGCTACCCTCGAAGTCTTTAACTCAGATGCATGGAAGCAGGCAAGACTGCATGCACGCCCACGCTGGGGCCCGGAAATGCCATGCCATGGATGTTCAGGGACTTCTTTCCTACCTACCCACCACCTTCCCTCCATCACTGATACTAATGTCATGAAGGAGCTGGCAGGTGACATGGCAGTAAAACATGGCACTCATCAAGGCTGACCACATGGGATGGTTCCCAGTTCTCATCTAGAGACCTCCCTAAGTACACTAGTCATGTGTGTGCCCATGGCCTGTGCTGGCTGAGGCTGGGACTCTGTTGGGGGTGCTGTCTCTCTCTTTCTTACTCATGAAACAAACAAACCAACTTAAGAAATATATACAGAGACTGTAGTAAACAGCAACGAGGAATTAGGAATGGACTGCACAAATATTTTTCTACAGCCATGATGAATTGAGAATATGACTTCAGATTTACAATTAAATAAACAAAAAGGCTGGGGCCAGCTGGTGGTGTAGTGGTTAAGGCACTGGA